TTAAACATCGTTGAAACATGTGATCCGATGGACGTGAAAAAAATGTTAGCTCCGAAAGGCGACGACTCGTTGAGGAATTGCACGCTCCGGCGAGAAGAAATTTTCCACGAAGACATGTCATAATTCGGGGATACGACGATCTGTGGCAGGCTGACATCGTCGAGATGCGTCCGTACTCGAGTTTCAACAAAAGTCATCACTACATACTCACCGTCATCGATGCGTTGAGCAAGTATGCCTGGGCCGTACCACTCAAGAGCAAGGTCGGAAGCGAGACGGCTAACGCTATCGCTAAGATAATTCGAGAAAACGGAAGATGCCCGAGAAACTTGCAAACGGATATGGAAAAGGAATTTTACAATGCCGATGTGCAAAAACTCTTGAAAAAACACAACGTTAATCATTATTCCACGTATACGGTGTTGAAGGCATCGATCGTCGAGCGACTCAATCGCACGCTTAAGAACGACATGTGGAAGATGTTTACGCTCAACGGCACTTACAAGTGGGTCGACGCGCTACTGCGTCTCGTGTCAGATTACAACGCGCGCAAGCATCGCACTATCGGCATGCGACCCGTTGACGTTGACTTCCGCCATCGCCAAAAGACTCTTGGATACGGTATACAGCGCGATAAAGATCGCAGGTCCAGCAAAATTCAAAGTAGGCGAATCGGTACGCGTGAGCAAGTACAAGACACTTTTCGAAAAAGGTTACACGCCAAATTGGACCACCGAGGTGTTTAAGATCGTTAAAGTGCCGTACTAATCCCGTAACTTATCTGCTCGAGGACTATCGCAGAAAATCGGTCGCGGGCGCGTTCTACGAGCACGAATTGCATCGCGCGACTCATCCAGACGTGTATCTCGTGGAGAAAGTACTACGCAGGAAGGGAGACAAGGTTACGTCAAGTGGTTGGGATTCGATAGATCGCATAACTCATGGATAAACAACAGCAGTGTGATTTAATTCATTTTTCTTATTTTTATGATGTATTAAAAAAATAAATATACACTGTATACATGTATACAAAGAGTTTTTATTATTTTTTTCTTTCATTACATTTTTTAAACTATATATGTATGCAACTTACGAGAACACATGTAAAACTACATGTATTATAAACAATATATGTATTAAGTCGAGTATAAATTAAATAAATCGAAGAGAGAATTAAAGCTAATTCCTCAGCAAGCAGGATCTTGGTTGCTATTATAAAGTATATATAAAATAAATTTGAACAACTAAATTTTATTGTAAAACTACATATAAAAACTACAAAAAATACATATATCTATACTACATATAAAACAGTATCGTATAAAACAATATCGTATAAAATTACAAGAATACATACGTTCATACATATATACATACATAGATATGATACATAGGTACGTACATACATACATACATACATACATACGTGCATATATGCATCATATAAACTATATAAAACTATATAAAAATATATAACTATATAAAATAATAAACTATATAAAAATATAAAAATATATGTACATTGTATAAACATGTATATATATATAT